CTTAACACTGCTACATTTTGTGGCCTCATTCTAAGGTTTAATCTTGGTAATGCACTCTTATTTTTGTATGGAATTTTGCGATGTTGCCATTATTGAATTTCAGGAGGAATTAACATTGGATAACCTGTGTCTGTAAGCAGTTTATCCTTCTCTTATGGCAGACAATCTGCCATTGTTAAGCTGTCATCACTGTATAATGGGGATTCATTAGAAATTACTTACTCAAAGGTGAACTTGACATACTGCATTCTATTCATGGAGGTATTCACATTGGTTATTGTACAGTATATAGGCTGTGTGTGCATACAAATATATGTATGTATGTAATGCCTGTGTGGGCATATACAATGTGGGTTTCATGGCTGTCATGATTATTACAAAAATAGCCATTACATTTGACATTTTTAGATTTGTGTATGTGCATGCGTTTCAGCAGAACATGATGGTCACAGCTGGACAAACTTTATTCAAGCCTTAAGAGCTACAAGATTACTTCCTGGGTTGTATGGGAGTGTAGGAGAGAGCAAGAGATCAGCAAAAGCCACTGCACCAACATAAGACCAGAGCAATGGCCTCTATAAGTAACTTTTATATTCAGAAGGTCATAAGGTTCTCCTGTTGCCTGGGGTAAAAGGATAATTGCTTGATCACCACATTTGCTATTTAGAAGTCAGCACTGTTGCGTCATCTGATGTGTTTAACGCTGCCCCATTGCAACAGCATATGTTCTGTTTGTTTGGAAAAAGGGAGTTATTTTGGATACAAAATATTGCCTTTGACTATTGCCCTTTTCTCTGACTGTCCTATGACTTTTCCATAATTGGCATAAAGCAATTACATTCCAGGTCAGAATAACCTATGTAGATAAACGTCCTGGACTGCTCAGATTTAGTTTTATTGAGTTCAAAGGGAGTCGCACCATTTGAAATGCAGCACCAGCCCTAGTTAGCACAACTACAGCTTTAAAACTCCACCTCTCTTGCTGGTGAATTCCACTGCTACTACCAAGGTCCCATACTTATAAGACACTCCTTTCCTGCGGGAAAGGTGGATGTCTGTGATCCCTGGACTGCAGCTGTTGTTACAAGAGTGCACCAAGTTTAACTCTTCAATCATCACAAGGACATACTTGCTTAAAAAGAAAAAGTTACCACCTAAGAAATCCATACACAAATACCAGTGTACCAAGATGAAAGTCAGTAGGTGAAAAAATACCTGCAATCTTTCAAAACAACTATTCAGCTATCCTACATACAGAAGAATAATTTCTGAAAATGGGTATGCAAAATCGATACCCCTTAAAATGGTGTCAACAGAATTTAACAATTCAGCTTAGATACAAACTGGTGGCATAAAGCCTAGCATGGTGGAACACCCCACCCCACCCCCCGGCTCATCATCATCACTCCCATAACTGCGTTGGTCATTGGAGCACCATCACTGATGAGCAATAAACCAATTGTCTCCACCCCTGACAATTGTGTGTCAGTGCTTGAGTGTCCACGAAATCCATTCCTGTCCACTCTTTTATGTTTTCAATCGATCTCTTCTTCTCTTCCCCTGTACTGTCCCTTGGAGGATGATCTTAGATAGGCCAGATGATCTTGTTACACGGCTGTACCACTTCAACTTGCGCTTCTTCAGGGTCGTCAGGAGGTCTTCATATGACCCAGCACATTGGGTGATGATGTTGCGGATCTCTTCATTAGTGACGTGGTTGAAGTAGCAGATGCCCAGGATTTTATGGAAGCATCTCATCTCTACTACCTGTATTTTCCATTCAAGTTCTGCTGTAAGGGTCCATGTCTTGCATGCATACAGAAAAATGGAGATGACCAATGCATGCAGCGGTTTCAGTTTGGATTCGAGGGAGATGTTTTTATTCCTTCAAATTGGCTTTTGCTTTGCCAGTGTTGCTGCTGTTTGCACAGTTCTTGCCCGAATTTCTGCCTTGGATTCTTCATCAGTGATGATTGCCCGCAAATACATGAGTGGTTTCACTGTCTCCAGCTCTTGTCCACTGACACAAGAGCTGATCCCATCACGTTTGTTTGTCATCAGCTTGGTTTTCTCTGCATTGATTTCCATGCCAAATTTTGAGGAGGTTTCATCCAATTGTTTCACAAGGTTTGCAAGGTCATCTTTGCCGCCTGCCAGGCCATCAATGTGATCAGCGAACCGAAGATTTGAGATTGTTCGCGCCCCCCCCCCCAATGCTGACTGTGCATATGTGATCTTTTAGGGCATCAGTCATTATGCAGGCACCAGAAAAATGGAGATACTAGTGTCTTAGACAGTCCAGATTCAACAGAGGAGGATGACTTTCCAATACTATGTGAAGAAGTGGAGACAGCTGTGAAATCAATCAAGAATGGAAAGGCTACAGGTATTGACAACATCCCAGCCAAACTGATGAATTTCGGAGGAGAAATAGTAATAGATGTACTCAGCAAGATATGCAACAAGATCCCCATGGACACAGTCACTAATCATCACTCTGCCAAAGAAAGGCAACCTGCAATTGTGTCAAAATTACCAGACCATAAGCTTAATTAGCCATCCCAGCAAAGTGATGTTGAAAGTCATATTGAACAGATTGAAGCCACAAGTGGAGAATATCATTGCTGAAGAACAGGCTGGCTTTCATGCTGGAAGAAGTACCCCAGAACAGATTTTCAACCTTCGTGTTCTATGTGAGAAGTACTACAACACCAGCAGGACATCTACCAGATCTCTGTTGCCTTCAAGAAGTTATTTGACACAGTATGGCACAAAGCTCTCTGGGCAACCGTGAAGTAGTACAGTGTTTGTCGTAAGCTTATTCTTACCATTAAACAACTGTATGCCAAGGCCAGCAGTGCAGTTCTCGTCAATGGCATAATAGGAAAGTGGTTTTGCACCTTCTTTCACCCACACTGTTCAACATCTACTTGGAGTGCATAATGACTGATGCCCTGATGTCCTCTTCCCCCCACACCCCCTGCTACTACAATATAAATAATCAGATTGGGAGCTTACTTTAAGACCTTGTCTATGAAAGACATTTTTGTACCATGGCATAGCAAGTGTACTCTAGGCCACCATTATTCTGAGATCAAGGCCTGGATTATCTCTATATGTATTTTAGCACAATGTTTTTGCAACAACTTTCTATGAAATTAAAATAAAAACTTACCATGTCTCTGTTTCTCTGCTTTGTATTAATTCATTCCTTTTCTCCTCTGTCTGACACTATTTCCTCAGTCTTTGTCTATTTTATTGCCAGTTAACTTTCCTTTTCTCTATTCCCATTCTTTAAATAGCTACCATCATTCCCTTTGTTCTTTCACTCCCCCTATTAAATTCAATTTTCCTCCTTTCACTTCATCCTTATGTAACAGTCCTCTGAAGTTTAATAGGTATAGATATGATTCTATAGACATTACTCTTAAAAATATACAATAGAGAATTTATTATTCCTATTATAATTTTTTTAATATTTCTATGATAATCATGCCCAAATGCATCAGTAAGGTTCAGACCCCCAGTGTGTGTGTTTTAAACTGACTGTGTCCCTTTAACAGAAATATATGGGGAGCTTTCTGTTTGTGGCCACCTTCATTTTGTTCTGCATGTTACTGTTCCTCTTCACTAATATAAGCACAGCATTGTGATTCTACTCCACGTTCATGCACACAAAGTTATTTCATGAGGGAGAACAATCTTCTTCTGACAGACATTCACAGCAGTAGCACGAAGAATACAGAAATTGCTGACAAAACAATGTGCTTTCTGTACAAATGTTCTTTTGTTTCAGGTTTCCCAACAGTGAAAGTCCTTCTTTAAAGTACATACATTTGAAAATTCAGTGCTCTTCATCCACCTTGCCTCTTGATATGCCTACAGTAATTCTAATTTGGTTCCAAAGTGCTATGAAAAGCATTTAATCAGTCATTATAGTTTAATTCTGGGCAAGCAAACACAGTCAGGGCATACAGTGAGTTTTTCTCGTTTGCTGGCTACGGGAAAGATCCTGGAACTTACATTTAGGAGTATTTTTTCTTGACTAGTTGCGGAGACATGAATGCACTTACTTGTATACTACTGCTCAATATGAGACAGGGTTACAGAATCAGAACCTAAGTTAAGGGAACATTGAATGAGCAATAGGCTACTTAGTGGATTATTCCCTATTAGTATATTTTTAGGTTCAAATCCAGCTCCCAGTGCCCAAGCCAAATATCCGGGGAGGAAGATTAGCAGATATACAGGGAGGCAGGAAGGAGAAATCCTCTGCACTTCTTCCAACCTATGGAATGGGTGCAGAGCCACTCTGTAGAAGCTGTGCAGGGTTGAGAGGAAGGAATGGAAACAGTATCATGTGACTCATATGACCAATCATGACTGACTAACAGTTCTTATTTCAAATGACAAGTGAATACATTGCACGAGCTATACAAAGAGTTTAAAATTCATTGAGTGAAGGCAAATAAATAATTTGGAAGAAATTGCAGTCTGACAGTCAATGTGCAGAAAAGCTAAATTTGTCAACTAACTTTTTTGTTCAGTTATTAGATTGGGCTTGGTCTATGAATTCACAATATGCAAGACATAAATTTAAGGCCTAATTTTGCAAATATGTGCACATGTGAGTACTTCACCCACATGAGCAGTCCTGCCAGCTTCAGTGCAATTCTTTTGAAGAACTTGGAAGCCATTGACTTCAATACGACTATGCATATGAACAAAGTAACAAGTTCCTCAGTGCTTCCAGCAGTGTGGTGTTTTGTTTTTTTTTAAATGCCCATGTTGCCAACTGTTAACCTAAGAAAACAAAGATACAAGAAACCGAGCAATATAACTTAAAGGAAGTTAGGAGTTCATCTTTCAAAATCTTAGCTCATGTTTTCAGTTTTGCAAATACATAATACAATGTACATGAGTTCCTAGCATTGATTTAAAATAAAACTTTCAGGTTTTTTGAAAATTTATTGATTTTTGTCTTGTTTTTCCTACTTTAGGTTTGTGATTTATCCTTCAGCCTGAAGAAAATGTTGATCCGACACAAGCTGACTCACAACCCCAATCGTCCAATGGCTGAATGCCAGCTTTGCCACAAGAAGTTTACAAGAAATGACTACCTCAAAGTGCACATGGAAAATGTCCATGGAGAAACTGACAGCTAACCATGGCTTATGCAAGAAAAGTGTGTCTAGTGTTCAAGAGTGTTCCATCTGTACATGTACAAACTCCAGACTTCTCACCTGATGACTGAGCAGAGTCAGGAAAAATAACTGTAATGTGTTCACAATCTTTTTTCCATTTTGCTTTGTGTTTATGTTACTAGAGTTTTTTTAATCAAGTAAAACACTGTTTGAAGATAAGAGAACTTTTCTTTCTCTTATAAGTTAAACCATTTTATTTGCAGCCTTGATACCTTAGATCTTCGTGGTGTTATCCTGAAATTTTGGACGTAGATCAGTGTATCTAAAGCTTCAGTGTATCTGGAGCACAGGAAAGGCAGTTGGATAAATTCACTTTCATCCTGACTGACCAGTGATCCAAGCAAATTTTATTCAGATATTAACACCACGCTTTATTAGAACATAGTTTCTTCATACTTTTAGTGCCTTTAATCATTAGATAAAATTGACTAATTTTGTGGCATCTCAAGATCAATTTAATGTATGGTACAGAAACTGCAGGAGTCTTGACTCTCACGCACTTCATCAGCAAGAAAGGCGTAACTTCTAGTTGCCATTGTGTGAGACAAGTCAAGAGCAACGGCTGTGAACGATTAGGTTTAAAAAACATATTAATGCCCACAGTTGTAACTGGCAGGGCCAGGAGGGAAAAAAACCTGGCTTCTGCAGATACAATTGTCTGGTTAAGGCAAAAAATGTGTATTCAATTTACTGGGGGAAATGCTGTTCCCTGAGGTTTTATCCTGTGGAAATCAGCTGCCCTGATTATTCCCCTTAAATGGCTTTGGTTTTCATAAAACTGTTAATGAGCACCAGGGAAAAAATATTGCATACAACTGGGTAACATTCAAATTCTCCCAGATGTTAGAATAAGATTTGTATTCCACAGTTCTTAAAAAGAATTCTCATATGTTATCCATGTATGCTACTGTATAACAAAGAGCTCATTTTTACCTAATGAGACTGTGAAAATCATAACTCTAGCAGTAGATTGCATTTGAGGTCCTATACAATTCCTCAGTAGTCTTCACAGTTAAACATTAGGGCTTTGTCTGTGTGTTCACATTCATTTTAGTTTACATGGACCAATACTGTTAAAAATAATTTGTAACTATACACCTTGCTCCTGCTAAAAGCTTATCTCAGTTGCTGATGGGAAATGTTGTAAACTTTCTCCTGGACTGCAAGTGACCAGACAGACACTGGATGGATGAGCAAGAGGAAATAGAAGGTGAAATCCTGGCCCCACTGAAGTCAATGGTAAAACTCATATTTGACTTCACTGGGGACGGTGAATTTCAACCACTCTTTCCATTCTGGAAGGAAATGAGGGGGCCAGAGGCATCATCTTTTCTTTCTCTATTCATAATCTTTTATTTTGGATCCTATTCCACGGGATAGCCTACAGTCAATTCTCAAAACTGAAGAGCAAATATGTAGTTATCAGTAACATTATTAATTTTCACAAATGTGAACAGAACACAACATGGGTTCCTATTGGAACTCAAAAGAAAGCATATCACTAATAAGTGTGTTCTGAAGAAAAGACTATTTCAGGGGGTTGCCCACATTTCCATAGTCTTCACCATATTTTATTACAAGACTATTTTTTGGAGCATCTCCCTTCCCATTAAAGTTCTGTAGTACTGTGGGGCAACTGTGGCAATTGTTTAAATGGTGACATTTTATAAGAAAGATTTTTAATGTACTTACTTGTCTTTTAATGCAATTAATGAGCTGGAAATAAGGAGGAAGCACCGTAACTTTGGGCCAGACTCAACACACACTGAAATCAATGGGTTTTTCCATATATTCCAGTGGCCTTTTCCATATATTCCAGTGGCCTTTTGTTTAGGCACCATGTGACCAACCAGGTCAAAGGGACCCTCTGGCTCTATCTGGATGACACTAAAATCTGTCATCCAAAAACTTGCTTATAAAAATAGAGTAGACACAATAGTAATAAGCCAATGGATATGATGCCACACATATAACATGTAATTATAATGGGCCACTCTCAGTTACACTAATGTAAATCCAGTGTAGCACCATTGAATTAATCAGATTTGACAATAGTGTAACTGAGGAGAATTTATCACGTGCATATGTTGTCATTTTATATTTGATACATTATAACCTATGATATTTCATTTTAATTAAAATACAACTTATTTTCCTATATTTTATAACAGTTTGTCTCAATGTCCTATTTTAGGTGCAAAACATGTGTTTCATTTTTTTTTAATTCATTATTCAACAATGGTTGGTTCATTTTATTGCATTCAGTTTGATTTCTGAAATACATATTGAATCTTATTTTATTAAGTAGGACATCTGTACATTTGGGATGAGGAGAATAATTGGGAATGTTTTGTTAGTTTTGGAATCTTAACTACCTTTGTGAAACTTCAAAATGTAGATTTCTTTATGCATAGTTTGGTGTCTGAGAATCTGATGAAACTCTGAAGACTTACCAATTTTGTCTGTTTTAATTATATATATCACAGGTGTGTGAGACAAATACTGCAAAAGACTAAGTTGGATTTATGTTTACTCTATCAGGAAAGTTCTCGTGAAGGAGTTTACTGGCAAGGATATTTGCAGAAACAGATGATTTAAAATTAACTTGTTGCTGTTATTAGTATAAGAAATCTGATACCAAGAGTTACATTCAGCCAATAAGTGAACAGAAACATAACCCTGTGTTCTGTTTTGGTGGTGGTGGTTGTTGTAATTCCTCTTATTGGCAAAAATAAAATAAAATAAAAAACAATTTGGGTGGGATTTGGTTTCTTTCCCCCGCTACCTTTCTCCTCCTCTTTTGTTTTCTCACTTTTTAGTGACAAAATATGAATAGGAGGAAAGGAGGGGGAGGGAGGAAAAAAACCCGAAAAGATATTTTTTTAAAATTGATTTTTTTATTTCATTTTCAGATGAAAATGTGTTCCTTTTCAAAACTCCATGGAACACTTTTCAGTTTATTAATAATTTCTACCAATAATTTGGTGAACAATTTTGAATAGTGATTTTTCTCAAATGTGATTATCTGCTCACAGATAATGCATGAAGGGGAAAAAATTAATTTTTAGTAATTTTATTTCGTGTCAAAGCACTACTGAATAAAAAGCAGCAAAAGTTCAATTATACGTGTATGTACTGTAACTGATAGTTGCAGCTGTGTGTTTGACAAGTTCTTTCATTAGCCGGGATGGTAATGGTCAATATTTGGAAGAGACACCTCCAGGGAAAACATAAGCAGGAGGTGCAGAAAGTGAAGCTGAAGTTTCAGCAGGCTGTAACCTACCTCAGAGCTGAATCTTGTAATCATGCCCATCTGGAACTTCAGGAGTTTGAGTATATTAAGAACAAAAAGAATCCTAACAATGGTATTGGTCCATTACTAGATGAAAATGGAAGAATTGTCAATAATAATGCAGAAATGGTAGAAATGTACAATAAATATATCTGTTGTGTGTTTGGGGAAAAAACAGATGATAGTCATATCATATGATGATAACACCCTCTCAATTCCAGCTTAACATCATCCTGAGTTACAACAGCAACTATTAAAAGTTAGACATTTTCAAATCAGGAACTGTGGCTAATATACATCCAAGAGTTTTCAAAGAACTTGACTTTCAAAAAGTCTTGGAACACGGGGGGAGTTCCAGAAGAAGAAAGCCCATGTTGTGCCAATATTTAAAAAGAGTAAATGCAGTGACTCAGGTTATTTTAGGCCTGTCAGTTTGACATCGATCCCAGCTAAATTAATGGAGTAGTTAATATGGGGACTTGATTAATAAAAAATTAAAGGACGGTAATATAATTAATGCCAATCAATATGGGTTTATGGAAAATAGATTCTGTCAAATTAAGCTGTTCCTTTTTTTTTTAAATGAGATTAGAAGTTTGGTTGATGAAAGTAATAGTTTCGATGTAACAGACTTCTCTAAGGCATTTGACTTGGTACTACACAATAATTTGATTAAACAAACTAGAATGACACAAAGTTAACTTGGCACACATTAAATGGATTAAAAACTGTCTCGCTGATAGGTCTCAAAATGTATTTGTAAATGGGTTCTAAAGGAATTATTTTGGTGAAGTTCTGTGGCCTGTGTTATACAGGAGGTCAGACTAGATCAGTGGTTCCCAAACTGGGGTTCGTAAAATGTTACAGGGGGTTCTTGGGGAAAAATTCCCTAATGGTGGACAGAGCTGTCCCTAGGGACCCCGACAGGACTGGGCCAGCAGCCAGGAGCCCCTGGACTTCCAAGAGCTAAGCAGATCAAAGCAAGCATATCTATCACACTGAGGAGATTTAAACTTCAAGACTCCTTATAAGAAATGGAAAGGGAGGTGGATATTTTTTGCTGTTTTTAAAATTAAATAGACGGCTAGTATCGTTTTAAAAATTATTATGAAGAACAACCTTAAGCTTTGTTGTAACGTGCGTTGTTTGCCTGGACTGTTTGAGACCTGAATGCTTGTGTAGGAGGAACTCTTTGAGTTGGCTTCTTAAATACCTTCGTGCTGTTTCACTTCTGATATTCCTTGATGAAACATAGGAGCCTTGTCTTATAACAGGCTTATTCAAAGTGATACAAGCTACGAAAGTGAGATCTTGGAAGAGTGTTGCCATTTTCATGTAATAAAAATACTGTAATGATAAATAATAATTAGTGTGTAATAAGCATGTCATAAAAACAAATTGTATATTTCCAAGATCACTGCTTTTATCATTTATACTCGGGTAAAGGAGAAAATCCCTGGAAATATTCATTTTTAGGAGGGGGGTTCTCAAGACTTGACATTTTCATAGAATCATAGAATCATAGAATATCAGGATTGGAAGGGACCTCAGGAGGTCATCTAGTCCAACCCCCTGCTCAAAGCAGGACCAATCCCCAATTTTTGCCCCAAATCCCTAGGAGGTTCACAGGTTGTTAAAGTTTGGGACCAATGGACTCAAGATGATCTCAAGGGTCTCTTCTGGCCTTAGAGTCTATGAATCTATGCATTTACTCATGGGCAAAAATGTTTGCAGAGCAGGTGCTGAGTCAGTACAGAACCAATGCCTGTCTTTGAAGCTGCAGGTAATTCTATTAGAAGAGCTGCTATGTTCTGTCCAAGAAGCAGTTGTATTTCACTGGTTTGGGGGGTAATGTGACCTGTATTACAGTGTTCACAATACTGAACTGTATACTCGATATAAACTCAGTATAGAGCACAATTATAAACCCTGTTTCTAGTTGGCCATAACTTCTTAAAAAAAACGGTTCTTTCAGAATAAAACAAACTTTCCATTGATTGTCTGATACCAGATATGGTTTGGGTTTTTTTTAATCTGAAGAAAAATTCCCTTCAACCAATTTTAAGTAACAGGAGAGTGAAATGTGCCATTTTACGTCTACTGTTCCCTGCTCCCCCTCCAGCCACCCCCCGCCGTGTGCACATGCTTTTTTGGGGGTGTGGGGAGGCTCTTTGATAGTTCAATGAGCAAAACAAAAATATTAATTTGTTGATATGATTCATGTGTCTTGAGTCAGACACAGCCAACTCTTCCAAAACAAAACATCAGTGACAGGAGACAAATAATCATATGTGAGGGGAAAAAATTAGATATTTGCAATGTTTCCTGTAGTATGTAACTTTCTTCATATCTTAGCCTTCCATTTTTCCTCTTTGTTCTCCACTGCAAAGTCCATCCCAATGTAAACTGATGAACTCTTGCTAAGAAACCCATCTTGCAGAAAACGCCTCCTCTTTTATAGGGCACACTTGGAGAAGCTTATATTTTTCCCCAAACATTTTCCTGCTGTCTGATGTAGTTTACAGTCCACTTAACAGGTAACATTCTGAAAAACAGTCACGAGAACGCATACCTCATTGTGAGGAGGATTTCTTCAGAGTCGAGCGCAATTTCTTGACAAATACAGCATACCTATGCCTGAATCTAAAATATGCTGCCACCACCACATTTCACCTGATTACATGGTTTAGCAATGACTATATAGTCCAGCACACTGGACTGGCTCTTGACAGAATAATGTTTGTGAGCCAGAGCAAACCACCAAATACCAGTGGAATGTTGCAATAAAGTCAGTCAGTATTTATAAAGTCTTTTAAACTAAAACTCCCAGGTATGGCTACAACTGACAGCTGAAGGTCCATTTAGGAATATCATCTCAATGTAGACTAGGCACAGTAGAACACTGAATCTCAAGTTACAGAAGCCAGAGCTTGTAAAACAATATTTGAACCCACACTGGATTATTGAACTTCAGCAATGAAGGGCTGAAACCTGCCCTCTGACTGTGTGCAAACACAAGAGCCCTCTTTGAATAAGATGCCATGCAGTAGCAGAGAGCAGCAATAAATAGTGAACTTTTCCTTCTTTAATACACCACATTAACATAAGAAACAAATATAAAGCCTTGGATACAAGTTCCTTTTACTCTTTTTGTCTTCTCAGGGAAGAACCATTTGCCTTTTCAGTTGATCAGAATGTTTCTCCTTGTTTAGGATGTTTTTTTTAAAATAAAGCTTGAGACACCTATTCCAATGCTCAGATCATAACACTGATAACCAAAGATTAATGTAACATTTCTTTCAGACCTCAAGATCATTTACATAATCATAAATTATGGCATCAATTCTGCAAATTGTACATGCTTATTTTATGTACTGTGAATAGTCCTAGTAAAGTAAGTTAAGCAGAATAGTGGCCTACATACATAGAAACAAAAAATTAAGGTTGCAATTTTAAAACGTGACTCAGAATATTATGTTCCCAGAGTAATACAATTAATTCTCTCATCTGTGACATGTATTTTGTATATTAAACTATTACTATATATCCAAATATACCTATATAGTGTACACATGAGGTTACTTACCCTATCCTTTTTCTTCCTTGTGTGTAGAAATTCATGACATAAATTAAATACATTTAATGCATTTAAAACTTATTCTTTACAGAATAATAAGATTTTGCTTGTGCATATTAATGTGAGTATTTTATGCTCCTGACAGCTTTGGAACATTCACCTCAATGGAAGGATTAGGATAAGGGAGAGGTGAGTTCACAGCTCTGCTGTTGCTAATGTTAGATGGAATGTATTTTTGCAAGAAAAAAACGTTAGTCTGATGCCACCCGGAGAAAGGCTGTAATTTTGGCTTTCACAGAAGTCTGGTGTTGTCCTACATTAAGAGCAATGCAGTCACACAGCTCCAAAGGAAACTCCAGGAAACACTGCCTCTGCAGGAGACATAATGCCTCTCAGACCTTCCCAAAGCACATGGGGATGACAGCATGCACAATCCCCTTTGGCTGGCCACCTCTGATAGATGGAGCTAGGGGGAAGGGATGTACCATTAGCGATGAAAAGGATTGTAAGTTGTGTGTCAGATGGAAGCTTCAGCACAGCCCAGCACTGCCTTTTTGGCCAAGAATAGTTCAGAATTTGACTAAGACACTGTAGCTAATTATACTTATCAAGCCAATTTTTAATTGACTCAAACCCTTATGAATGTTTGCTGAAAAAAGTTGGTTTTAACACCACAATATCAAAAATGTTAACAGGTGAATTGACCCTAGATTTTGAGGTGCCCCATGTGAAGTAACATGCCACATCCAGCTTCCCCTACCTCCTCGATACCGCCCCCACCCCAAAAAACCCTCTCCATCTGCCTTCTCCCTAGCCTTTTTGTCCCAGATAACCTATTTCTGAGGCTCTTCAGCTTCTAGTGACCCATAAAATGGAATAGTTGCAAGTTTGAGCACAAGAAAAAGTTTCTAAAGACTAGGCCCAGTTGGATAATTCAACTGCTCCTTTGGTCTAATGGCGCCAGAGTCAGATAGGGCCACAAACAAAGAATCAGATGTGGTGCTTTGGCTTGCAGTTTGGACATTTGTATGTGCTGTGGTACCTCTAGAAGGAGGGGGCATATGGGATTGCACAGATCACATAAACCATAAGGCTGTTACTGATCAGTAGTCCCTCTTGAATTAAAAACATACCAATTCAAATTTTAATCAGTGAATACTGTTCTTAATTTCACCTAATTGTTCAAATAGATGTATTCCTAGTGTATTTGTAATACAGATATATATTTTTAAAGCCTATTATTTCCGAATTAGGCCTTTATTATCTTTGTAAGCTGGGACTGAAGTTAGTTGATCTTTTAATATCACATAAATAAGGAACAAAATGGATATACTGCTTCACAGCAAGGAACGTGGTGCATAAAGCTTTCACTGACACTTTCTCTCTGTTCTATTTGTTCTGCTCAAGTGACATTTATATTTCAGGCTACTAAGTCGCTGCTTAACCTTAGCTATGTCTCCAGTTACACAAGAAATGAGATCAGAGGCCTTGTGTGACTGCACTCTGTCATCACCCTCCAACGACGAAAGAAACCAGGAGGAAACAACAACCCAGAATGGCACAGATAGAGAGACCAGATGCTCCGTTTCTGACTGAGGTAGGAGGAAAAGCATTTCGGAACTTCCTTTACTCTATGTGGCATAAGGTTAGTTACCCCAGAATGATACAGACAGCAAGATAGGGAAATAAAAGCAAACAAAACCTATGTTATTTATTTATTTATTTTTTGCTGGTGGTGGAAGCAAATGTTTTGTTTGGTTGGTTTTTTTTAATGGTAACTTGTTTTAATGCTCTTTTTTTTTTTTGAAGTGGCTTTCCAGAGAGTGGTGCAAAATGCTTTGACTGACAAACCTTGATCTGAACTAACTGCTAGAGAGAGTGCAGCAGGGGTTTTATGGATATGAAACGTTCCAATAGAAGAAAAGGAGTACTTGTGGCACCTTAGAGACTAACCAATTTATTTGAGCATAAGCTTTCGTGAGCTACAGCTCACTTCATCGGATGCTGTAGCTCACAAAACCTTATGCTCAAATAAATTGGTTAGTCTCTAAGGTGCCACAAGTACTCCTTTTCTTTTTGCGAATACAGACTAACACGGCTGTTACTCTGATTCCAATAGAAGGGATTTTTTAAGTTGAAACCTTCAGCACATTTCCTAAGAGTCTGGCTCTTTTTATTATTTTAAAGAGGTGCACAGTGATCAATAGCAACCAAAGGAATCAACTAAGTTTTGAAAAGATTCTAATTGCTGGAGGTTTAAGTGTCTCATTGTAAGCTGAATAGGATGGCATGAAAGCAATGTGACTTGGTACAATTCAACAAATGCTCTGTACAGACCAATTGAAACTGCATCATCCAAGGAAACTATCTATGTGCCTATGATTCTTTTCCACCCCCCTCCACACACTCTCTCTCGCTCACTCTTTTTCTCTCTCTCACGCTTACAATAGAAACAAAAAACTTTGCCCAGGCCATTTCTGAAGGAGAATTGTCTCGCTGGAGTTAATGACCCTGAGTTATGCCTCAAGCCATCAACTCCTTCCAACAGGTTGTTAATCTTCAGGAAATACCCTGAGCTTAGTCATTATTGTTTAATTGAAATGAAGAGTAAGAGATAGAAGAACTGTCATCTAGGTTTCTGAAAATAATGTTAAATCCGGGTTCTAATTCTACAAGCATTCAGAGGAGCAGTATTCAGACAAAGAGCATTGTCATTGCAGTAACTTATAAAGCAAGACACCTTTTCCTGACGAGGTGTAAACCCCAATTAAGCAAAAGCATGCATTTAAGTCTATTCATGGAAGACAAGCAGAAGGTTAAGTGTTTTGCTGAATAGGGATGCAGAGTTGAATTGGGGGAGGGCGGTATGTCTACACTACAGCTGCTACTGTGGCATTGTTATACACTGTAGGGCTGTAGTGTAGACACACACTAAAGCAACAGAAGGGTTTTTCCATCACTGAAGTAACACTCTCTCTGGGCGATGGTAGCTCGGTCAAAGGAAGCATGGTTCTATTGATCTAGTCTTGTCAACAGGAACTGGTCATTTAGGTGGCTATAGTTTTGGCGCTCAGGGACTCTGAATTTTTCACACCCCTGAGCACCGAAACTATTTCAATTGTTTTAAGTTTAGGCCAGGCCTTAAATCTGATCTCTCACCAGAGTAAATTGGAAGTAATACCCTTTAAGTCAACAGTCACAGCAATGTAAGAAAAAGGACTTTTACTCTATCAGTATGATTTCTGCACATTATAGCTGCCAAAGGAGAATCAAGATAATTGCATTTAAAAAAACAAAACCCACAAAAACATTGTAAGATAGTAGTAATCAAGCAAAATTGAGGTTCCGAGCATGGACTCTTGTATAAGGCATTTGACTGAGTC